TGTGATTATGATAGGCCAAGTGACGGCGGCAAATATCGTCGTCACAGACGGCAATGCAGCACCGCCGGCACCAATCAGTCTTCTTAGCGTTGGTCTGGTTGCCGCACCAGAAACACCAGCTAGGCCTCTGACCTTTCTGAACCAACATTTCAGAAAGATCTTCTCGAGCCTGGTGACTTGCAGTACCGACAATCTCATCAAGAACCTCGCCTCTGGACATGTCCGATTCAAGCCTCGGCAGCCACTTCACCCACGGGATCCACGATCCCGCCGTCTTAGCACTCATGACTAGAAACTCGCCAGCAATGTCTTTTCGCACAAAAATCAAGCTTTCTAACCCGCCCAGAATATCGTGAGGCTTGACTTCATGTCCTCGCATTTCTGCCTGTTCGAGAATAAATGTGCGGATAGTTTGGCCAATGATTCGACTGACCATCGTAAGGTTTCCTCTGATGGCTAAGTCGAGTGTAGCCAAGGCCTGGATGAGGTCCGCGGTAGGAACTGGCTTCTGAAATTGGCTCTGCCACCTTTTGACTGCCACTGTCCGCGATATTCCAAGAATGCCCAACCTCTTCAGGAACTGGCCATCGAAATCGACAGCTGTACCTTGAATGCCGGTGGCTTTCCCAAAGAACACGATATCAGGGCTTGCAACATGGGAGTATTCTTCTCTGTGAAACGAAAAGGGGGCACCGCACCGAATAGCGGTTAATGTTTCGTCCACGGCAAGTAGGAGACTCTCCTCCGCGCATAATGTAGCAAAGCGCTCCAACAGTCCGGGATCTAGAATTCGGCCGTTGTATTGATTTTCGACGATTTCAATAATGATTCCTATGCAGCCTTGCTCTTTGGCTTCATAGAGCTGATCTCTGAGCTCGTCGTCCGACACGCCTTCAGTATGGAGGAGGATCGGATCTTGACCGTAAGGCTTCTGGGTTGAGGAAAATCTCAGTCCTGGCTTCTTCAAATTTCTCTGTTAGGCCCACCATTGCTCATATTATATGGCAAGACTTACATACTACTGAGCTTGAGACTGTGGTAGAGGCTGCAGCCGCGTACGTGTCCGATAGAAGGGCCCATCGAGGTCGCTTTGCCTGGATGTCCTCCCAACCAAGCCGTTTCAATGTGTCGTCTTCATCCGTAAACGGGCTCTCAGATGAGTCTGATGACTCAGACATGGAGATCTCCGCGAGAGTCAAGATGATTTTGACAATGTTGTCTGGGTTCATTGCCTTGTTGGTGGTAACCCCATAGTCAATGGGGTAAAACCCCCCAAAATAAGCTCTAGCCGTGTTTTAGCAGTCTTCCAGGCTGTCATACCATGGATGAGGGACCTACGCGAAAGCTTCTTCATAAGAGTGAAGCAGTTCACCGTAACGGCGCTCTAACCTTAGACGGTTTCCAAGATATTCGCGCCAGAGAGGATTGTGGAGTGTCAGCGACTGCATCTGCTCGAAACATAGAATGCTGCCATTGCAGTTGTTGAAGTCATGATCGAGATTGCGGAGCGGAAGGCCGGCAGGTACTACCATGTTGTAGCCTTGATCAGTTGACATGGCGGTTGTTGTTTGAAGTCGGTGGGTTTGCGCGACTGATGTGGTGGAGTCCGAGTGAGGGATTTCGCTTATCTGCTTTGTTCAATATCGATGTTTTAAAAGCACGATTGCAGTATTCCTTTTGCCAATGCACCAGAACTGCTTTTGCGGACCATGAACATACCAGGGTTGAAATGATTCGGTTGAAGCCAAGGATGTTAAAGTATGTGAAGTGCGGTCGTTATATGATACCTGATGTGACCATTCAAGTAACAGTTGTAGATAGAGTTCATACTGAGAAGATGGCTGTGATTGCTATACTCAGCCAAATGTTGCTGGCTTGAAAATTGCCCCCCTGCTTGCGCCCGAGATGACAGTCAACCTAGAACGGTAGAGCCAGTTGGGGCACTTCTTGAGGTAGGGTCATAAGACTGAGTGGTTCCAGACCCTTCTGCGATATGTCGTTTGGTGTCCAATCGGCACAAAGAGTCACAGGGCCTCGAATGTGTGATGTGGAGTGCTTGTTTTGACTTCAGAGGTACGCTGGAACGCGCTCACGAATTACAATTGACAAGGGGTTCAGTAAGGGGCTTCGAGACCCGAGGTTCATTTAACAGAACTAAAATGGATGTTGAAAAGAGGCCAAATGATAAGGTAAGATGCCATGGGTCCGAGACATCATGGCAGAAGCCATCACACTGCCCTTCCAACAGCATCTGCATGTACGCTTAGATACTTTTGAACTTGCGTTCAACTCGTAAGTGCCACCAATAGAAGCATTCCTCTCCCAAGGCACACTTGCTATGAATGTGGTCAAATTCACAGCATCCCGAAGGAAGCCTTGCGTGAAGTGGCAGAGCCCCTTGGTCGTCAAATTGCAGTGCAGTCAATGGCCCGGATCCCGAGCCACGTGAGTATGCGCAATCCAGTCCATGTGTTTAGCCTTCGGACATGTCCGACGTAGGGGCGTGTGAATTGGATGAAACCAATTGACCAATAGACCAGTAATCCCCCCTTTTCACAAGCCCTTGCTCAGGTTACATATAGTCCGGACGATGTGTGTGACAAGGTGCTGTAAATGAATGAGATACTTCCCGTCCAGGCAATCATTAAAATGCAAAGTCAGCCTTACACATCTTAGACGCCTTGCAACCGCCTGCCCGGGGCGAATAATCCGGCTCACCCCTGTAGGTCAGACATTCCTCCGCCGTAAGCCGAAGTGATCGGCCCCGGCGACCCACACCTGATCGGCATCCTGCAGGGGGTTGCCCCAATCCTGACCCCGAACCAGACCGTCATCCCTCCGATCGCCGCCTGCCAGTATCAATTCGTTCTGGATCGGGGCAGTGTACAACGGTCAAATAACTTGATCGCATTCGTCTGTTTCTCCTGTTCATGCGGGTTTGCAATGAAGAAGTCCCCCAAGCCACCCACTGAGGCGCCACTCGCAGGTCTCCGCAACACGATCAGTCGAGCTCAACTCTAAGCTGATGTTAGCAATTTGCCACATTGCTGAGCCCTTTGCGACCTTTTTCTTTGGGATGCCATTGGATCAAAAGCGACTTTCCGCCACTGGTCTGCCATCCATGGCCACGAGATGTGGCTGGTGTTGGGGCTCATGGCGACCAAGTGCCCAAGGGAATGATGGGAGATTGGCGTGTATTGTCTCTGTAGACATTGGCTGCATTTAGAGGTGACTCTGGAAGAACCAGCCGTGGTTGGGGTCATCTTGTTATGGATGGTCACATTTGAGCTGGGATATCAGGATGTCTCCATCTGTTCATTTCTAGGGGGGAATCTGCACCTCGAGTGTGGACAAATTTACGCCCAATCAGTCTGTAAGAATTTCTGGATGAGTTCCTCCAGGCTACTGGTGTATGCATAATGCGATGCGATGATATTCATTACCCAAGATGCTTCAAGATGTCCTGCACATTATTCCAAATCATGTACCCTTCCTCCCAGGGAGCTGCATGCCGGCCCTCACATCGAGTGCCTCTGACTACACGCAAACCGGCAATTCCGTTCAAGCGAGCTTCAAGCTTATGGGCCTGGTTCGTCGGAACCGACTGATCTTCCGCGCTGTGGTATCTTTCCGGACTTGACTCTCCGTTCGAGCTCATCAACAGGGACATGGGACGGACTTGGAGCCTCCCACTTTGCTTGGTCTGGTCCAAATGTGATGCTCTGAAATTCTTGATAGACTTCTTTGAGGCTAGCATGCGATGACCCCAAGTCATGTATGTACAAGACCCGGCAGATCATACAATCCGTTCATTCCCACAACCGCCACGGGCCGAGGGGGCTCCATAGCAGCGTCGAGGCCCCAGGCTTGTGGTGGCCGGAGAGTCGACTGGAAGGCAAGACATGCGCCAGCACTAGGACCTGAAAGGATATACGAATCATCACGAAGACCAAGCGTACGTAGAAAAGCGAATCCTTGAAGAACGTCGCGGATATGGTCGGGATGATGCCCATCTCTCGACGGATCTGAGCTATCTCCCTTGGTCGGATCGTAAGGTAAAGATGGATGAGTTGGAAATGCCGACAACGTATAGTTCATTGAGATGATCGCAGTGATTGGGTGTTTCGTGTCGCTGCCAGCAAAGGCATGAGCCGCGGCAGGTTCAATAGAAGTTGAGGTGAGTTCAGGGTCTCGCCATGCCTCGCCATGGATATGGACCTGCCAACAAGGAATGCCGTCGGCAGGTGAATACGTCGGAAGATTAACAACTGGTTGTCCGACGAGGTTGTTTGTTTGATTCGTCTTCGGAAGATAGATGTTGAGGGTCTGAAACCTGTGGCCATTGTTCATGTAAGGCAAGTTCGGAGCCGCGACTACCGGCACAGGATGGCTGAGGTTTGGGCTCATAACCTTCGTCAGCTGCCACTGGGTGTTGGTAGAGCGCGTCATTGTGACTGGAATCAATTAGAAAAGGTGAAATTTAGTAGAACAACTTTATTCACAAGACATGAAGTCGAGGTTTATAAGCAACTGAGCTGAAATGACCTTACATACCTGGATTTCAATACTCTCTTAATGGTAAGTGCTGACGACTAGGACTCTTTGCATGCTTTATTAGAACTAATAGAGCAACTCCTAAAACCGAGAGACGTTCGTAGTGATATGCAGCAGCCTCACTAAAGCGCACTAGGAAAACATTATCTCCGCGATCTCCGCTTTCTTTGGCACGCATAACATGGGCGAAGGATAGCTGGAGAGGAACAACCTTTTGAATGGCATAAAGGGCGATGTTGTTCAAACCTGTGTGTGGGACCAATCCCAGGAGGACGGTCTCGAATCGTGTTCATTGTGTAAAGGATACCTTAGGTGTTACGAGTGCACACTGCATGATCGATGGGAGGCGTTGTATTGGTCCACGTTGGTAGTATTTATTGTTGAACTTTTTAGTATGAACATTTAAATGATTAGGTTATTTGTATACATAATGCAAAGTGATTGTATCAATCCTTCGCAGCCGCCTCAGCATCCTCGTCCTGACCGTCCGCATCTTGGTCAGGATTGACCTCATAATACCTCAACCACCGCAAAACAGCGTACAGCAAGCAAGCTAGTAAAGACCCGAACGTAGGCCCGAACACGTAGATCCAGAAATAACCAGGAAACTGGCGATTGACCACAGCTGGTCCAAATGACCGAGCGGGGTTTAGCGAGGCACCTGTGAAGTAGACTCCTGTTGGTTGAATGAACTGTTAGCACGTTCTGTTGCTCTTCGTAATGTTCTAGTCATGTCTTCATGGACCACTCACCAACCAGTTCCGACAGGAAGAATGACACGCCGATTCCGACGGGTGCAAGAAAGGTTGAGCGATGTTTCTCAACGGCGAGCATCAAGATGACAAAAACAAGCTGAGCGGTCAAGATCAGCTCGATGAAAAAGCCTTGTGCCGTGTTTGTCCCGTTTCCAAGAAGCGTGTCGACCACCAAAGGCCCGGGAAACATAGCATACGCAATGCCTGCTGCGCATATTCCCGCTATTATCTGCACGGGCAGGATGAGAAGGCCACGGAGTACCGGTAGTCCGCCACAGACTACGAGAGCTAGCGTAACCTTGGGGAAAAGCGAATTAGACAAAGGTGACCAAGAGGGAGACATTGTTTAGGATTGGTTCCACTTACGACGGGATTGAATAGCCCTCCACTGACTCGGTAAAATGCCCAAACGTTAGCCGTCAACGAGACACCGAAGGATAGAGCGACGAAGAGGATGACTGTCAGGGTATCCTTAGATGCACTGGCTGCTGCTACCACATTGGCAACTTGCGTTCCGGCGAAGGAGAAGAACAGGAAAAGAAATGTGCCGCAGAACTCTCCTAACCCTGATACAATCTTGTTCCTTGTGGTATCGGCGATGCTAAGCATCGGGAGGGTATTGTCGTGGTCCCCATCGCTCGCCAGCTTTTGGATGACTCGCTTGGGGTTCTTCATTTTGGATAACAGTCGCGGCATGGTGAAGGTCGATGTGTGTTTAGGGTCGGGGAATATTTAACTGAGGGCGGGACCCCAGTGTCGAAGAAGGTCTGAGAACCACGAGCTCTATATTAATTTGAGACATGTCTGTGTTTATATGAAATGCTGGTCCTTGCCCGTCACTTTACATGTTTTCTCTGTTTTTACTCCGTCAAAGAAAGGCATGGACAGGTGATGGTATCATTCCGAAGCAAGCGCCCGTTACGACACTAGGCCCGCATCCGGCAGTGCCCCGACCTTCGAAGTATGGCGGCGAACCCAAAGCGGCGCCGTGTCTCGAAGGCACTGGTCAGCGCCGGTGACGCCAGCTACACGCGACGCATGCTACCGGGCAAAGGCAGCCGAGCAATCAGGTCTGGACTCAACTCCAGATCAAATACGAACGAGGGCTCAACGGCGCTTAGCGCGCACAGCCTGCCCATAGGCGACTAGCTTCTGAAGCCACGGACATCATTGTCAATGAAGAACATGTCTCGGTTGCGGCATCTGTCAGTGTCATAGGCAATCTTCCCCTCCGCACAGCCCTGAACGTCAGGACGTCGAGGTGTGAGCGGATTCTTCGGGCATCTGTGTGCATGAGCAGCTGCAATGAAGCTGGGACTAACGCGGCTCTGCTGCGCAGACTCCGGACCAATTGATCATTTTCAATGATGACGCCGCGAATGTGATGTCGGGAAGAAAATATGACAACCAGACTAGGAGTTCATACAGATTGTCCAGAAGCGTCTCATGTCCGGCCCCCCTCGGAGTCCCACTAAGCTCGAGACTCCCTCCATATTGAGTTGACTGCAGTGAAGAACCCCATACCGTCGGATTTGATCAAAGTGGCATCAAGTGCGCTGCCATGTGACGCAATCCTGGTACTATCATAAACCGCTTCCGTCGGTCTGATCTATGAACGTCGTGCCTGCGGTTCACCGCCGATTGGATGGCAAGTAGATCCGGCCGGCCGCATCCTCGGTTTCTTAGCGTCGTCATCGTGTTTGCCAAGATGCGGGGTCGCCTATCGTGGGGATCTTGGACTATTGGATTCATGTGGTTTCACACTGCCTTTCAGCAGTCATCTATTTTTCTCGTAGACTCACTTTGAGATAGAATCTGCAAAAGTAGGTCTCGCGGCTTTGTTGCCGTCGGCCTCGTCGTTGAGGTGGTAATCAAGATGGTGATCAATCTTCGGTCCGCTCAGTTATCAGAATAGTGCTCCGAATATTACGCAAACGACTACGTATATGCCTTGTCATCAATCCAAAGCAATGTCATATGCATCGGAATCTGTGTTTCCGGCCAATGTTCCGGGTCAGCCGCACCTACTTGTAGCGTTCACTGCTGACGATGATCAAGCGTATCCAAGCGGCTGAGCAGCTGCGTGTATGGAAATGAGAAACATGATCTCTTCAAATATTTCTAGGTTGAATATTTCAATGTTTATGGGCTTAATGAGACCGCCCGCATTGTAGCTGGATGAAGAGGTGGCCAATCCTTGTCTGTCCCAAGATCCAGGATTATCCCTTGGATCGCCGATCAAGTTGTCCGGGGCTAAACATCAATATTCCGAGACATCTCAAAGAGCTAGCTTACTCAATCGAACACTAGGCGCGAGGCGCACGAACAAGAGAATTGCACATTTTACCGCTATGCGACATCCATAAACGACGATAAATGGCAGACCCAGCCAGTTCCCATCCCATCTATCTTGATCCGATGTTTATTTGGCAAGTCCCTATCCACTCCAAATCATGCACTTTGGCTTTGGATCATGATACAAAACGTCCAGCTGACGTTGATGCTGGGCAACGGCGTTGTCAGAGGCCGATCCTGGGGGTTTGGCGTACCAATGTCGCTTGAAGAGGTAATCGGCTTGGTGTGGCAAGGGATACACGGAAATCAAAATGCTGATCAGCCCGGTTGTAGCCACAATTGCACCATCGCACGTGATTGGATTGGGCTAGTGGCTTAGGTGGAATGTGCCTTAGCCCACATCTAGTTCAAACGAAAGCCTCGATCAAGTTCTTTGTCGTATTTAACAATGCGGTGTCCCTAAACCCATTACGCGGCTTGAGCCGAACCAGCCTTCTGGGAGATTCCGATTAGCTTCCGCGCCAGCTCCTCACTCTTTCCCAGGAAAGGGCTATGCCCAGCTGCAATTCTCTCCTCTTGCATATCAGGGGTGCCTTTTACCAGTGCCTCTTGAAGGCTCAGAGGTAAGACCAGATCGTTCTCACATATGAGATACGTCTTCGGTATGACAATATCCGACGCGATGAAATTGATTCCGGTCTCAAATGCATCTTGGGAGTGCGGCAGCAATATGCTAAAAACCCTTGTCGCTTCCTCCTCTGAAGTGTCATTGTACAACAGTTTGGAACCCTTCAAATTCACCGTTGAAAGTTTGTTCTGCATGAAATACGTTTGGTAAGCAGTCGAGCTACTATGTTGCACTGCAATTAGGTAGGGTTCACCTTCGCGTAGGACTCGCAGGTATCCTGCCAGTCTGGCCAAGCCCCGCCAAAGGTCGTGAGAAGATCCCATCCTCTGACAGGAACGGCAAAAGCTGCAACGAAGATGATGGAGTTGAAACCGCCTGTCAATCCTCGTGCGGCTCTCTCCTGGGTTCCTTGACCTTCTGTGGCGACAGTTGCCGGCACTCCTCCATAAGAATGTGCCACGAGAATGACCTCTCTCCCCTGGTCGAAGTAAGATGTCGCCTCCTCGATAATCTTTGCTTTGTCGGCTTCCCATGTAACTCCGTTGGTGCCATAGCCCATCGATGGCATATGCGGGATAATGCATTCGTATCCCAGTGAGATGAGATCAGTCTTCAAGGGCTCATAGCATGCAGGCGGGTGCCACGCTCCCGTGACGACGAGGAAGACGGGCTCACTTTTGCCAATTGAACCCATGTTTGTAGCTGATAGTGATTTGAAAGTAGGAGCTGATTACTTGGCGGAACCAAGAATCAGGATTGGGCATTTCCGTCTCTTTAGTAGAAACCCGCCAGAAACATCCAACGGGCGACAGAAGTGCGTTGTTGGTGGCTCGGCAAGGGTCAGGGAAACGGCCCAATCCCATCACGTGGTTGGTTGTTGGCTTCTCCAGCAGCGAGATTAGATGCTCCGTATCTCACCGAAACTTGGCTGGTTCCATGCAGTAATTGATCAAAATCGTAAGAGTTGGAACGCTGAAGTGCCTTTGGATGCGACCTTCCAGATTGTCCGGCTCGGTCTCCGGACGGCCCGGAACACCCAGCCCCAGAGCGTGGAACCAGCATCCTTGCCTAGTCACCAAGAATGGTTAACGGTCTTCGCCAAGAACAATCCATGCAGAGAACCAACAGAGATGATTGCGGCACAGTAGTTTCGAATCAACAGCTGGAAAGGTTCAAAAGCGCTAGGCCCACAACGGAAGAATGGGCACACATGTAATAATGATATTTGCAGTAAGTAAATAGGTCGACCAGCAGCACTTTTACCTTTCAGTCAGAACATCACGTGGAGATCTACTCACGGCAAAGGTCAATGCGCAGACACTGGCCGACCCGAAGTTACAGTCATCTTTCATCCCACCACAACCTCAATCGCATTAGGTTGGCAAGGAATCGCAGTAACTATTGCTTCACCCATCTCGACGCCTGATATCCTCGCATATGATGAGGGTCCAACCATTATTGGGCTGTGCGCCGCCATGATGCCCTGTTCCGCTGTCGTTGTCGCTCTCAGACTCTGGGCAAGACGACGGATGAAAATGCCCCTAGAGTGGGACGACTGGTTGATTGTCATATCTTTGGTGAGTAAATTACGAACGTTATTCAATTTCTCTATGCTAATCAACTACTAGCCATTGCTATGGTCTGTTGCCATTCTCGGCATTGCTGGTGAGTACCCGAGTCCTCGTGACGAGGACGAAGCCACTGACATCAATTCTAAAGCGGTTTGCTACGGAGGAGTCGGGAGGCATTTGATCGCTGTTTTAGCGGAGGATCCGGTAATCTTTGGTCGCTCTATGCTCGTGAGTACTTTTCCCTATCATCACCCCCTACATATGCCTGCATATGTTTTGCTGACGACGTATCACGAAGTGTCTCTTCATCGGCGAGTACACATACGGGACTGTTCTATGTACCGTGAAAGCATCTGTTCTCCTGATGTATTATCGTATTTTCCCTACGACAGGCATGAAAGTGGGAGGGTATGTGCTCGGCGGATTGACACTGGCTTGGTGGTTGGCTGTGGTGTTGGTCTCGACATTCCAGTGCACGCCGATTCACAAAGCTTGGAATCCTCTCATGGAGGGTGGTAAATGCTTAGACACCAATAAGTTCTTTCTGGGGAACTCAATTCCTAATATTGTCACTGATGCTCTCATTCTCTGTCTGCCGGTTCTCGAGGTTTCAAAACTCCAGGTCCGTCAGTCACAGAAAGTAGCTATTGGAGGAATGTTCCTTTTGGGCGGCCTATGAGTTACTTTAACACACTTAACCCCACACTGCGCCTTTCATGCGACTAACTCTGCCGGCAAAGGGTCGTGGTAATCAGTTGCATACGTCTGAAAGTGGTTATCGACTTGTCCAATGCAGGAGCTGATGCAGACTTTACTCGTGGGTCCCAGCATAACCTTTCGTGCGTAACAAGCTAATCCGAAAGCACAGAGCTAATAGGCCCATGCTGGATCTGGACTACCATTGAACCCACAATCGCGATGCTTTGCGCAAGTCTTCCCACAATGCGGCCACTCATGCCCTTCCTCTTTGGCCGGTTCATCGGGGGTTCTTCCGATGGAAAGAACAATGTCACCGGCCTCGTGAAAATTGGTGGCACCGGGTCAAATCAGTCAGTCAAAGGCAAGGGGCACAAAAGTGGCCGTTCATTCAAGCGGCTCGATGATAACGATTCAACGGATGAACCAGTCTTGTGGCCGGAAGGTTACGTCAACGATCAAACCACAATTGCGGAGATATCTCA